ATTCTCGGGCTAATGTTTAGGGTGCCGACTCCCTCTGCTCTGAGTATGATTCTGCCAGAAACAGTCGTAACCGTTATTGAATGCCTACCGTGTGCCAGGCACTGTCTCGCTGCTGTCAATGGTTTTCTGATCCTTCAAACTACCCTTGAGTTGGTTGTTACCTCCCCATTTACGGAGGAGAAAAGTGAGCTCCAGAGGCATTTTCTAAGTGGCCGGAGGTGACACAGCTACGTGGATGATGTAAAGTTGGCCTGATTCCACAGCCTGGGTCCTTTCTACTGTGACTGTCGAACACACCAGCACCCTTTATTGAGCACTTACTGTTTACCAGGCATGGCGCTGGAGATGCGCGAAGCCGCCTAGGCGCTTGGGAATCTGCGATAGAGCAGATGGAGATGGCAGGTGTGTGCAGCAAACATCAGCTCACAGCCAGGTGTACTGGGCAGACACGGAGGGCCTCGTGTGACCCCAGGGAGCCTCATGGGACCCTGAGATTAAACGTGGGGTTCAGAGGATGGTGGTTTCTGTGCGGAGCAGGGGCCTCGTGGCAGGTTCTTGAGGTGCCTGCATGGATTTTTTGGGGATGAGCCCCTGGATAGATCAGGAAGACCTGGGAATCACAGCCTCGCTCCTTAGTTACCCTGGGATGGGAGGTGTGGGGGGCCCTGGAGGGGTTGCGCTTCTCTGAAGGTCTCGGTTTGAGGATTTTAAGGAGCTGTAATGAGAACGGTTGCCTGGGGTTTGTGGAAAAACCATCCTAAGCAGCCCCACAGGTGTGAAGTGTGTTCTAATTATGTATAACTTATGACGTGAAGATTATACATAAACGTCAGGATCCCTTTACAAAAACTTCCTGTCTTCAGAGAGATGGGATGTTCGAAAAGATAGGGTTTCTGCCTCTCCTTCCGGTTCCGTCCTATCGGGCCAATGTCGTACAGTTTTGTCTGAACAGCTCCCTTTCTCCCCCTGTCTGGTGCCCTCCGAGGTCCCCAGAAAGCCCGTCTTCCTCACCATCGTGTCACACTGGGGGGTGTCTAGACAGCTCAGGGCAGAGGTTTTTGGCTTTTTTTTTTTTTTAATTCCTACGTCGTTGTGCCAATATTCTGTGAATGCCCGCTCTGTCTGGGCCGTCATGGTGCCTGTGCTGAGACGCCCAGACAGCAGCGGCCCAGGGGGCCATGTCTGAGCTGAGTCTTGAAGCATGGCTGGGGTCCCTCCCCCCACCCCAGGGGGTGTCTCACCACCACTGAGGGTTTGCTTTGCTGTAGTGTTTACGTGTGTGTGTGTGTGTGTGTGTTTAATGGAAAATTTCGAGCACATGCAAGAGCAGAGACGGGTATGGCGAGCCCCCCATCTTCGTCATCCCGCACAATGGGTACCACCCACCACTCGTCTAGGTAATGCCTCCTTTCTGGAAAGACTCAGGCTCGGGGATGACATCGAAGTCCCAGGATGGGTCAGTGGGGCTCTCGTGCTCTGGGGGTTTAAAACCGTATTCTGGTCTCCTGGCAGCTCCTACCAGGGGGCACCGAGCTTCCTGGGAATGTCAGTTTGCAAAGCTGGGCTGGGTGCTGTCTCAATCCTTGGGAAGAACAGACATGTGGATGCTACGTCCCCTGGTCCCCACATCCCCACTTTCCCATGAGCCTCAGGGCTGTCCCCCCAGAGTGACAGAGGAAGGCAGACCATTTGAAGCAGAGCACTCCGACTTCGATATTTTTTTTTAATGTGAGGGAGGTAGGGTTCTGTACAAGGCTTAATTTCAAGGGAAAATCATTTAAACTGCTGAAAATAAGTTTGGGGGCCACTCTTCTAGAGGCAGGCTGGGGGTCATCTTCTCATACCCCCTCCTGCCTCTGCCCTCTCCCCCAAAACACTTCAGCAACTGGCAGGAATAAAGGTCAAAACCAGGGCAAACTAGCAGCACCAGGTGGTTCTGCCGCAGCTTCGGACGTCCAGGTGTGACCTGGCTTTATCCACCAGATTTGGGGGTTCGGGGTGTGATCTCTGTTTTCTTCCTGGCAAGGTGGGTTTGGAGCATCCATGGAGAATTTTCTGCTAGTGCAGATAAAAGAGCAGTTTTTAGACAAAGTAGGAGAGTGGGGCTAGTGTCCTCTCCTGAAGCCAGAGGGTCGGGAGGCGCTGACACGGAGGAGCCCTCACGATGACAAGTGTCTGTGCTGGTGTAACCGTCTCCCCTGCACTGTTTACAAGGCAAAGCAGGTAGCGCCCAACCTCCCTGGATGTTGTAGCAGGCGGAGGATGTCTCGTCAAGGCTCAGAGTGCACACAGCAGGAGCTAAGGCAGGTCCATTTCTGGCCTCGTCAAGGTGTGATTCACACTCGCCCACTGTACACGGCCCCTTGGATGGTCTGTAGTAACGGTACAGGTCCAGCGGCCGGCATCACCGTCCTGGAATTCATTTCTTCTGGGGACTTAAGCATCCTGAGCCGTCTGGCGGGGACCGGGGTCGGCACCGCGGCTTCCCCCTGCCCCGGAAGTGCTGGTAGCAACACAGGCGAGTGGAGCTTTCTTGGTGAGCGGCTCCTGAACTGCATTTTGTGAGGACTGGACCGTCCTGTGGCTTGTCACCACACTGAAGCAGCCTGGTTTGGGGAAGCACTTGTCGAAGGCAGCCCAAGTGGAGGGTGTAAAGCTGAGGTGACCAGTGACAGCATGTGCTGATTGTCCAAAGCCCAGCTCAAGGCCGTCGGGTCCCGGCATGGACCACCTTCTCCTCCTGGCTTAGACCAGTTCGCTTAGTGTTTATTGAGCCCTCGCTATGTGCCAAGTGCCATTCTCGGCACTTTCCACGCATCGGCTTGTCTATTGCTCCCAGGAGGCCTGTCGAGTGGCGTTTATTATGCCTATTTTACAGCTGGGAAAACTAAAGCTCAAAGTAAAGTAACTGGTCTGGGATCGGACCGCCGAGAAGTCGAGCTGGACGCAGACCCAGCCGGTGCCCTGAATCACCGCCCCACAGGGCCTCTGGGTGCGACGAGGCTCCCAACCCGGAGGGGGCCGGGCGTGGGTCACCGGGATACTGCACAGAGTCGGTTCTGTGACACAGGCGTGCCTCGGTGCTGCGGGCGTGTGCCCCTGCTGTGCCTCGGTGGCCGGCCCTCCGCGGGCGCTCAGGGGAAGTCAAATGGACGAAGTGCCATTGGGGAGGCGAGAGACGTGGAGAGTCCGAAGCTTGGATTTTTCCTTTCAGGCGTGACCAAGACAACGTGAAAATACCCACCAATGTCCACTTGATATTTTCAGCATCTCTGCTGGGCTGTGAGTAGATCCGGCCATGCGCTCCCCTGGGTCCCCCACCCCCATAAAGAAAACAGCCAGCTGGGGAAGCTGGGGGCTCCCTGTTCTGTGAGCAGCCGTCCCGGGACCCTCCCGCTGGGCCCGCCTGTCAGCATCTTGATGTCCACCTTCTCCGTGTCCGGCTCAGGGGCCCAGAGAAGGAAGCCGTCTTCCGGTCCCTAAGCAAAAGGCGAGGAGGGGAAGTTAGAGAACCGAGGGGCAGGACCCCGACACGCACTTCCGCTCTTCACCCCGTAAATCCCGTAAAGAGTGTCAGAGAACTACTGTCTCACCGCGGCCTCCCCGGCCTCCCCGGCCTCCCCAGCCTCCCCCAGCCTCCCCGGGCTCCCCGGCCTGCCCCGGCCGTAGGTCTTCTCACTTCGTCTTGTTTTCCTCCAAGAAAAATCCGCCTTAAGCATCAGACTTTCATTACCTTCCCAAAGGACACTTCCTGTGGCTCTTTCAAATGAAAAGTGCCTAATGTCATGCTCCTGAATAAAAGTGGGGTTTTAAACTGGGCCACAAGCTCAGATGCCCCCAGGGGCCGGGAAGGAGGTGCCAATGGGCAGCTGGTGGGGCGCTCGAGGGCAGGGGGAGGACTGTGGCAAAGCGGGGCGCGTGCGTCCTGTGCAGGGGTGGGCCTCTTACCCAGGAGTGGAGTCCAGTGCACTGCAGTGTCCTTGTCTTTTTCCCCCTAAGAGAAGCCAGGAATCCAGATTTTTTAAAATGTTGACAAATAACTTGGTGGCTTGTTTGTTTGTTAGTTTTAAAAGAACCAGCGCAGAATAAAATGTCTGTGCCTTCCCCGTGCAGACGAGAAGGGCAAGGCCGAGGAGCCCATGGCGTCACATACCTTGGGACTCGGCGCTAGGACTAGACCTGACCTGCTGGTGCCTGGCCTGGCCCACCTCCCACCTCGCCACGCTGTGTCCTGGGGACGTCAGCAGGGCTGGGAACCAACAGCCAGTCCCTGGAGGGACAGGGCCCTAAGACGATGTCACCCACCCGTCTCAGCTCCCCTATGAGAGTCAGCATTATGGCTGCCCGTTGGGTGCCAGGCACAAAGCGCTTGGTGTAGGTGTCTCTGGTGATCCTGACGAGGCGTCCGGTAGCTTCTGGTAACCCCACCTCCCAGACGAGGAAACTGAGACTCGGAGGTTCAGCCAGCTGCATGGGGTGGGATCTGAACATGGGCGAGATCCCTGAGCCAGGGTGAGTGGGGCGTCGTGAGACGCGCGTTTCACCCTCGGCCTGGTGTGGGCGAGCTCGCCCTCTGGATGGCCAGTGCCCTCTCGTCCTGACCCATGCCCAGGGGATCACCTGCAGCGTGGCGGGGAGGCTGGGGCCACCCCGCTCTCCTCCTGGATGGGGACCTCACGAGCATGGCCGCTCCACCTGCTCACAGTTTGCTGACTAATTCTCTTTGCAAACGGTTCAGTTTCACTTGATTGAGTTTCCAGTAACTACGTGGGTGGATTTGTTTCATTTAAGGGGAAAACAAAACATGGAGGGGGTTTTCTTTCCCAAGACGAGGACCGCCAGTTATGGGCTTTGGTGCGTGCGGCTCCGGGCATCCCAGCAAAGCTCTGCAGCCAGCTGGCCTCTTGGCAGGCGGGCTCGGAGGTAGAAATCGCTTAGTCATGTACAAGCGGGGACCAGGTGCGGCAGGTCAGGGTGGTGCAGTGGGCACAGCGGCCCCGAGCAATTCCCCACTCAGCCCTGCCTAGCACGGTGGGGGAGGAGGAACTCTGGGAAGAGGAAGGTGCCCGGTGAGACAGCTAGCCTCACCCTCCCTGGGCTCACTCACCTCCCAAGGGACCTGGTCTGGGACGGAGACACTTCCCCACTGGCCGGGCTGCCCGCTTCAGGTGAGTTGGAGATGGGGGTGTGCTGACACGTGTTAGACTCTGCTGGGGAGGGGTTGAGAGGCAGCCGCAGGGGACAGGGAGGGGTGTGTGCGTGTGTATGTGTTGTGTGTGCGTGTGTGTGTGTGTGTGTGTGTGTGTGTGAGATCTCAAACAGGCTCGACCAGGTAATGTTAGCATGCTGCTTTGGGTGGGTGCTGTCCAAGCAGAGCACATTTTGGTGTTGGCACGGGGCAGGGTCCTGCAGCCGCTGTGAGGCATGACCACATTCGTTGCCAGACGGTTGTGGCAAAGGGGCCGACTGACAGAGGGGACCACCTAGCGGGCTAAGGGCAGTCTCTACCAACAGGCCTGGGAGTGTGTGGGTGTCTTAGAGCCTGCATGCGCCACACTGCCTCAGAGTTCAGCGGGTGGTCTGTTCTGTGACTTCTCTGGAGGAGGCCACCACGAAAGCCATGTTTAGTCTAGGCGTGGCAGCTGGAGCAGTTATGAGCCTGGCTGGGGAGGTGGATGGAGGTGGCTGGGGTCTTGCTCTGATACTCCCCGTCTCTGTGACCTGGGCCTCGGTATCCCATCTGTGAAATGGGGGTGGGTAAGACTACCTCACGCATGGAATGAGTTGACGTGTGAACTGCGGTCCCTCCCATAACTGGGACCCAAGGCCTGAGACGGGGTCGGGGCCTCACCTCCCACGCGCCTTCCTGCTCCAAGGAGGGAACATGCCTTAGAATTTATAGTCCTTAATCCTGGCCTTTGAGAGCTCATTTCCTATGCTTTCTGCAAGGGAAGAGGGCAAATATACAGTCAACTCTCAAACGATATCATTTTAGGCAGAGGGGAACAGAAGCAGGGAGTGACAGTCGGAGCTCTGGAGGATTGTGATGAGGATCAGGGTTTACTCTCAGCAGGTGAATCCAGGAAGGCTTCCTGAAAGAAGTGACGTTGACGCTGGACCTTGGGATGCATAAGAACTGGAGAGGGAGGAGAGAGGGAAGTAGGAAAGAGATCTGTCCCTGCAGAACCACGTAGATGGTACCTGGTGCGTGGTAAGCACTTAGTACAGATTATCATAAAAATCAATGTGACTCCAGGATTATCAGTTTACGTATCTGGCACTAGGGTGTGTGTGTGTGTGTGTGTGTGTGAGAGAGAGAGAGAGAGAGAGAGAGACAGACTACCAGGTGGGAAAAGACATTTTCAGTGTCGTGCGCGACTGCTTTCCTGCAGTAAGGGAACCTATTTTGTTTTTTTCCCACCCTGCCGTCCTGTGGGCTCCTAGGTGGTGCTTCTCATTCTTCTTTGACCTTCCATTTATTCCACATGTGTGCCAGGCTGTGTCCTGCTCTGGTGGCCTCACGGGGCTTGCAGACAGGAAATGAGGACACAGGCAGACGCCTAAGGGGAGTCCCAGGCCCCGTCATTGCCAGATTGGGTTTGCAAGCCCGTGCCATCCTGGAACTTCCTGGTGCCCTGGCCTGCCCTGGCTGGGTACGAGGGTCTGAGCAGCGTGCCCCCGGGAGTCGGGGAAGTGGGGTGGACAGTCAGGGTCCTTGACGAGCCAGGTGGGGATCACAGGAAGCAGCTGCATTCACTCTCCCTTTCTGGGCAGGTTGGAGACACATGGCATTTCTGGGACGCTTCAGCCTGGGGAGGGATGGCATTTCCTGTGGCCTGGCGAGGGAGGGGCCTTGAGGTCTGGGCTGACAGTGGCTGAGGGGCGAAGGTGGGCCTGGGCACCCAGAGACCTGGACGCACCCCCGGCTCCTCAGCTGCCTGCGTGGAGCCACGGTTTAGCCACCCCCACTCTGGTCTACGCTGGCCCTGCTGTCCATGCTCTCTGGCCTCTGCCTCTTTGCTCTCTCTCTCTCTGGCAGTGGGGGCCCTACCTGAGGCCCAGCATCCCCAGGCTGCTGGGGGACCAGGAGGCAGGGAACGAGGGCAGCATCCTGTGCCCGTGGCCGTGTTCTTCTTTGTCTCCAAGGCCACCCCTGCCTCCTCTCAGGCTTCTAGCATTCTGGGAAGACCGTGAGTTTTAATTTTGGCTTCTGACCTGGATCCCAGACAATTACTTGGCGTCTTGGAGCCTCAGTTTCCACATCTGTGAAGCTGGACATGAGACTCGTCTTGCAGGGACAGGAGGAGAGGCTGGCCGGAGAGATGAGGGCAGAGCTGGGGGCCTGGCTGCTCCACCCCCTCCTCAGACCTGGGCCACTGCTGCTCCCCTTGGACGTCGAGGCGAGGGGGGCTGTCTCGGGTCAGCGGCTTACTGAGGCGTAGCTGACCTTGAGTGGGGGGAGGCTTTCCCACGGAACAGCCCCCGTGTCCACCCAGAGCGGGGAGTGGGGACCCAGAGGGGAAATTGGATTGGGGTGGCAGGGGTAATGGACTTTATGTGGCTTTGAAGTGGCTGGTGTGGTTCGGATGTGGGGAGGGGTGCCGTTGTCGGGGCCACCTCGCAAAGGGGGCAGCTTCAAAGCACTGTCCAGGCTGGTGGTTGGAGACAGGACGGCCCACTTCGAGTGAGCTCTTAAGTCCACATCCGCTGGTCTTTAGGTGGGAAGCTGCTTCCCCACCCTTCCTGTCCCCAAACAGCCAGCCCCAGACCTCCTGGGAGAACTGTGGCTGGGCCTGGTCGGGGGTCGGAGGCAGGACACTCTCAGAAGGGAGGAAGGGAATCCCTCCTTTCAAGACCATTGTGTCCAGCGACTTCTGTTGTGGCAGCCAGACTTACCCGCTCAGGACAGGGCCAGAGTCCCCTGCCCAGGACTCCAGATGTCCAGGTCGGCGTCTGTTTTTCACAGTTTCTGGGTACCCCCTCCCCAGCTTTGGTTTCTCTTTGCCTCCCTCTGAAATTTGCATAGAACTTTCTTCTGCAGATATTTGCTGAGCGCCCACTGTGTGCCAGCCTCGTGCCAAGCCAGGGGGTTGCGGCAGGAACAAGGCAGGCTGGAGGGTGACAATTAACCATTGTTGTCTTTTGGCAGGACCGCCCTCTGTGTGGCAGGTGTGTCTCTATCTTTCTACCTGCGACACCTCCTCTCTCCCTACCCCAGCCAGATGGCTTTCACCTCTCACCTTTCCCTTCCCAGTCCGGTGCCCACGTGGGGTGTCCCGCCCCCGTTTGATCGGGAGGTCCTGGAGAGCCCTATTGCCGGGGTGCGTTACACACAGTGGGTCTGCTCAGTGCTTCTCATTTATTCCTTCACACTCGGGCGAAGCATGCAACTTTTGGCAAGTATTTCAGACATTGGAGCAGGAGAAACGGATTCACCGCAGTGGCGGGAGCTGGCGACATGGCGCTGGGGCTGGGCCCCCTGCTCAGTGCCCAGCCTTGTAGGGGATCCAGGAGGCGACGTGGGAGTCTGGGTGTGTGTGTGTGAGTGTGTGTGCGTGTGTGTGTGTGTGTGTGTGTGTGTGATGGCAGTCGCTGAAATAGCCTCCAGGGCGGAGACCTTGGTTATTACTGTCAGGTCCTTGTGCCCACCTAGCACAGTGGCTGGGACACGCTCAATGGGAACTGGTTGAATGAATGAATGAATGAGTTAGCCAACCTCTTCACCGATAGTGGAAAAATTGGCATCTTTGATCCAATCATCTCATACGCTGTGGTTGGCTGTTGACTGTCCGATAGCTCAGCAGCCCCTGAGCCTAGGACAGTGCCTGGCGCACAGTGGGACTGAACTGGCCTATTGATTTTCAGTCATCACCTTATCTCGACTTGAGGCCTGACTGCACTCCCCGGGGGGCTGCCCCCTACTCCGGCTGATCAGGACCTCCCTTTTGAAGGTGGCCCGGAGGATGGGCTCTATGTTTCCTGTTTCCTTGTGGGGGGCTTTTTGTTTAAGTCACTGGTGCTTAAGAGGCCACACCTCCCGTTGTGGCCAGTTCTAATGAGATGGGATTATGAGAAAGGTTGGGGTGACCCAGAGGGGTCACCCCCAGGCTCCAGTGGAAGAATTTTCTGAACCCTTTTAAAATAGGCATCTTGCTTCTCCTCCACTCCAATCCCACCTCTGAATTCCTGAGTGTCTGGCCCACTCCCCAGGCCAAGGCAGTGGGACCCACTGGCTGAAAAAGGCAGCAGTGTAATTACCAGGTACTGGAAATAGTCCTGTTTCCCTTTGAACCCTCTCCTCCTGTGGCTCCCTCCCCCACAAGCTGACCAAAGCTCTTAAACCTTCGTTTAGTCTGCAGAGCCATCCCAGGCGGGGGGCCTCAAACATCTGCATTCCTTGGGCTCAGCCGGTTCTTTTGAGTGTCGAGTTTCTGGGTTAGTGTTGCATGGAGGGCGAAGCCAGCACTCTTTACAAAGAAAGCGGTGTGTGTGTGGTGGAATTCCAAATATCCCGATGGCACTGGGTGGCCTCCAAGCACCAGCGCCCGTTCTTGGGAGAGAGCGGACCCTGTGCCAGTTCACCTGCACCTGCCCGACCTGTTCGTCATCACCTCGGTACCCGCCAAAGAGGTGTTTGAGCAGTTCAGCTCTTCAGACCTTTAGTGAATACTTACTATTCAGCCAAAAATGGGTAAGAAAGCTGTTCCAGAAGCTCGTGAACCAGCGAGGGCGGCAGACACGGGCAGCTCGTTAGTGCTTTATCTCATCACATCTAAGACCCACGGAGAGGAAGGGTCGTCATTTTTTAACAAGCTGCCCCGTTTGTGGCTGTCACACGCCATTGACTCTGGGACCAGCCTGACTGCAGTGACATTATGATGTGAATCATGCTGAGTTATGGGAGACGGGCTGGGCATCGGACTGGCTGGGGCATCGCTGAGTTCGCGGGAGAGGTTTGTTCAGCTGCAGCGGGTATCTAGGGGGCAGTTAAGGGGCAGAGTGGGGCTGGGGAGTGCAAGTTCAATGCCAAAGGATGTCGCTGACGGAGTGCCTGCCGCAGGCAGCCCGCCTTCTGGGCTCTGACTGTTCACTTACTCACCGCGGCCTCTCACCCTGGGGCAGCAGCCGGACGTGTCTGTCGTACAGACGGGCAGAGGCTGTCCCAGGT